ATCTGACAGACGTGTGGGCTATATTTACTAGAAACATATTCTTCACTACATTCATTTATATAATGGATGACTAACATTTAAATAAGTCTGCATCCATGTGTGTATGTGTTAAGTGCCACTGAGTCCGTTCCAGCTCACAGTGACCCTGGTATAGAATTTCCAAGTAGATTTGAACTGGTGACCTTTGAGGTTTGCAGTCCAGTGCAGATCCTACAGTGCCACACGAGTGTTCTCTATGTTGCTGTTGTGAAGTGCCATCGAGTCGGTTCTGACTCATAGTGGCCCTGTGTAGGGTTTTCAAGGGGCTGCTGGTGAGTTTGAACCGCCAACATTGTGGTTGAAACCGACCTTGCGGTCCAGTACATTATCCTGCAGTGCCGCATCAGGACTCTAGGAGCTCTATAATACTGGCAAAATTGAAGCCATCTTTTTGTAAAACATAAGCATCATACCTGGTAATAAAGGAACAAATTTATAAAAGAGCTCTATGGATTTGTGCCGACACTCCCTCTGGGGCCTTCCACAGTGGGCCAAAAGCCACCTGACCACATCTAGTAGGCATAGTGAAGAAGCAGGGGGAAACCCTCTGTGAAGAGATAATGTGTTACAATTAATAGACTCCCAACATTAAACATTCAGCTTACCAAAAAAGTCCAGGAGTCATAAAGTCAATTTTATCATACTGGTACATATAGAAAACTCAGGAAAAAGGCATTCAACTTATTTTTAATACATCGTCATTAAAATACAACAAAAATATCACAGGTTAATTGGGTCTTAAATGCTACTTGATTTCATTTTTTATTTATTTTTTCATCAGCACAAAATATTAAAAAGTATTCCCTAATAGACTAACACTATGTGTTCACGCTTCCTTTATAATGTACCTTAAGGCAAAACAAGATTTAAGATCTAAAGCAGTGGTCCTCAACATGTGGACCCTGGGCCGGCTGCATCAGCATCACCTGTAAACTTGTGAGAAAAACACACTCTTGGGCCTACTGAAGCAGATACTGAGGGTGTGCCCAGTGTCTATGTTATAAACAGACCTATAGGGGACTCTGGTGCTGGCTCAAGTTTGAGAATAAAGTATCTACAGAGGTGTCAAAATTTAGTGATTGCTGTTGATGTTAGGTGCCGTCAAGTCGGTTCTGACTCATAGTGAGCCCATGCACAAGAGAATGAAACATTGCCAGGTCCTGCAACTCACAACTGTTGTGCTTAATCCCATTGCTGCTGCCACTATGCCAATCCACCTTGTTAGGCATCTTCCTCTTTTTTGCTGATCCTCTACTTTACCAAGCATGATGTCCTTCTCTAGGGACTGGTCCCTCCTAGTAATATGTCTGAAGTATGAGACACAAAGTCTCACCATCCTGTATCCTCGCGGTACCTCTTCCAACACAGATTTGCTTGTTCTTCTGGCAGTCAATAAACCCTCCTTCTCTGACATCTCAGCACCTTGACATTTCAGGTGTTAAACTTCCAATTTTACTGCACAGTACTTCATGCATACTCTAGTCAAATAATTCCACATCAAATACATATTCATAACCAGCGTAGGTAAAGTAAATGTCTCAGTTACAAAACTAATTTTCAATTTTTCTCTACTAGCCCAACTAATACTAAATATAAGTACCAAATTTAGACTTTACACCAAGCAGTTCAAATACAAAGTTTTTTTTACTGTCTTTGGGAACAGTCACTTCACACTTTCCATGTTGTTTAGAAAAGGATTTCTTTATCCTTACACACATTCCTCTCAGATTGTCCTTCATTAGCTGAGAAGTCATTTTATGTTTAAAAAAAACAAAATGGAAAAGGATTAGCAGGACAGGAGGCAGGGGAAAAGAGAGAGTCACTGTTTGGAGACACTGAGTATCAGTTTACGGTGATGAACATGACAATAAATGTTGGTAACGACTGCACAATAGGATTAGTGGAATTGGTGTCACTGAATTGTACACATGGAAAACACTGAATTGGCAAGCGTTGCATGATATGTAGTTTTTACAATAAGAAAACAATCAACTTTTTTTTTTTTTTTAAGAAAGCAATATAACCTACCTTGGCAAGCGCCGTTTTTTGGGCTTGTTTAAAGAAACATGCTTCTTCTCAACAATGTACCTGAGATGGTCAATGGCAGCACAACACTGCTGGACTGTACCTGTTCTCACATATACAATTTGGAAAAAGAGAGATCGCTAGTTAGTATTGGCCTACTTTGTAATAAAAAAGGTAATTTTATTAAAGATAAAATACGTTTTCTCATTTCAGAACATAAAATTTAAACAAATGATTTACACTGTATAGCCAAGAACAAAACTTATACTTAGTTAAGATTACAGGACAGTCTGATGAAAACCAGAAAGGGAGTGTGGACACACAGTAACATCACAACCTACACTGCCTGCATCCAAGCACAGTCAGCACACCATGAGTGTGAGATTGAAGAACCCTTTCAGGTATCTATCACAAAACCCACGTGCCAGCAGGCTGTATACCTCAACTGTACGCTATGACTAACAAGTGTAGGCTCCTTGGTTCTCCTTCTCCTGAGGCTGGTTAAACTACATTAAAGTTAAATCATGCCGTTATTGTGGGATGAGAACAAAAAGGGGATCTGGCAAGACAGTCTCCACAGCTAAGGGCCCTTGGAAAGGGCGTGCCTTATTCTGACTGGAACGCCAAGATAAAGGCTTCCTTACTGTGCTCACGAACTAGGGCAGCAATTCCAGAAAGACTAAAGTCCCTCCCTGAGGAGAAAATCTACCTACGGGAATGCCAAATAACCTATGTTGTTGTTGTTATGTGCCACCAAGTCAGTTCCGACCCATAGCGACCCTGTGTAGGGTTTCCGAGGAGCAGCTGGTGAGCTTGAACTGTCAAGCTTGCAGTTCAAATGGATTTGCAGCCTGGCGCATTAACCCACAGCGCCACACCAGGACTCAAAATAGGAATGCCAAATAATGCACAGGGAATGCCAAAAAATAACCAAGATAATTTATAGCTAGCCACGGCACTTAACAACAACAACAACAACTTGGTGGCAAGGACTACATTTTAAGCACTTTTGCCCACAAAGACAATCAACCTTAGTCATGACGGTGTTAGTGTATCTTTTAAAATAAAGCAGAAGCCAAAATCTAAACAAGTAGACCAGTAGCCAGTACCTATTTCCCCTCTACTTCTATTCCCTACCCACCCTCCAGCAGGCTTGCAACTATGATGTGTGGGGTCCAGATCAGGCAAGCTCTATGAATATGTCCCACTCAAATAAAATTGTCACATATTCTAGGAAGGGGCCTCAGACAGCAAGGGGTCAGGCTCAATGGGACCAGGGGTATGACGTATGATTCTGAGGACGTGGTCATGGAAGAATCTTTTGTAAAACATGTCAAGGTACCAGATGTATCACATGTGTCACGCCAAACGAGAGATGGGAGAAAAAAAGAAAATAGCACTTTATGACAGAATCACTAACACTTAACTTAAGCCCTGAGTTTTAAAGATTCCCAAGGCAAGCAAAACCAGTGGATTGAAAACAGGAGCATGGATAAAACCTACCCAAGGAATTTTCATCTGTATGTGCTAAGGCCAGACTTTCCATATAGACAACCAAGGCTTCAAACACAAACTGCTCTACCAGGGACGATTCTTCCCTGTAAAATAAAGAATATTAAGCTTCACCTAGGGAAACAGAAAAAAAAAAAAAGCAGAAGCAAATAGAAAAGAAAAAAAAAAGAAATGTTATTTTAAAATACATTAAATTTGTTAGATAAAATGGCTTATGTGTTTCAAACATAAAACATTCTAAAACACCTTCTCAAAGAAAAAATCCTGCCCAGAAGCAAGCCACAGTAGCAGTTTCCCTCTGAGCAGATCACCTCAGAACTACTCTTCTGAGAATATGTTACACACTTATTAAAATTAAATGTAGTTGAAAACAAGATCTGATATCATATCCATACTTTTTTACAATAAAGGAATTTAAAAAACCTTTTCATCAACCTAAAAGTAAGTCAGCACAAATAGTAAGCTTTAAACTCTGCAAGCAACCTGATGTATAGGAGAACCTATCAGCCCACCATATCATGAGTCATGTGCTTACCGAAAGCACTAATGTCAGCTTAGCTGAGCCAGGGTCCCTTAGTTAAGTGCAGAAGCCAGATCTTTCAATGGAAATGTGTTCTTTAATAAAATCATCTATAAAACCACAGGCACAGGCATTACCCATAACCAGGCATTAGAATGCAAGTCTCCCTGCATCTCTGCTCCAGGGCAATACATGGCAGACTCTCTGCACACTGACAGGAAGGGGCTTTTGTGAGGCAGACAGCATGGAGCAGACACTGGAGGTCAGGATGGAGATCAGATTACAAAGTAGTGTTTAATTTAAATTCCACGATGGGCTGAGCCTCTCAAGATTCCACAAGCCACATCTCCCCAGTGTCTCACATGCAGATCTGAAACTGACACGAAAGGGGGCCTAAAAATAAACAAACCAGCATGTGCAGAGAAAAGGAGACAAAATGAGACACAAGCCAGAGAACAAACCTAAAAGCCAGAGAAAAAGGCTTATTTGGAGGAGTAGCTTGTTGTATTAAGTCTGTACAGGTCAGATGGAGGTGAGTTGCGGAGCTCTTGGAGGCTCAGATAAGTACAACGGCTTTCATCTCAAGTACTAGGAAACCAGTAAAAGTGACTAAAAGAAATGACGTGACGGGAATGTACTCAAACCTGTGCTCTCCATAAAGATGCCAAGTATTTCAAGGACACACAGGAAGGAAACATTTGAACTTCTATTTCTATTATTCAATATGCATGATCGCAACAACTTTATATTTCCCAGGAACCCTTTCTCAAAAGCCACCTGAAATGTAATTAAACAGATGAAGAGTGTTTCCAGATAAAGAGACTAGGCACAAACCTAGGGATAGAGCAGGAAGAGTGCCCAAGAGGAAGCAGAGGCGATCGGGGCAGCTCCTGGGTACCAGATAAGTGAGCAGGATGGCCTCACATGTAAAAGGCAAGCTGCAAGCACCTCCAAGATCCACAGTGGTGTGGTTTCTTCAGCTGGGACAGAATGCCAAGTGAGCCCAAACCAAATTCTTAGTTCAACTTGGCTTATGACCATGTGCTTGAAGTTCTTGTCCTCTTGCCTATGCCAGCTTGGATCTACTGGCAATGCTCACTGATTCCACATGTATTTTTGCTTTCACTGACTCCCAGCAGGTGCACAGTAGTCACTGACCTCTGGCAGAGAATTCAGCATAGCACACCCTCTGATACTACTTCACAGCATCTCAGATGTGAGATTCTAAAAGCCTGTGTCCCAAGATAAACACTGGGCCTTACCTACCTACTCACTCCGTAGGGGCTTACTTCCTCTCAGGAGCTGAAGCCAGAGTCTGTGTTTATCTTCCCCTAGGATCCTTCAAAACAATTGAGAACACCATCCCTCCCTTTCATAGCTGCATTTGTACTGACAACTAGTCTTCCAAATGGTATAACATGTGCTATTTAGGAATGCATATAAAGATGCATAAAGGACTAACATCGAAGTCAGGAGAATAACTATCTCTGAGAAGATGAGGGATATGTGATTGGGAGATTTAAAACACGAAATACAAGAAATTCTATTTTATATCTTAGATGGTGATTGTGGTGTAATGAATTATTTAATTCTGTAACTCCCACCAAACACTGCTTCTGACCTACTACATCTCAGGAAAAAATGGTGGGAAAGGACACTGATAAGAGGGCATGATTCAGCTGCGAGGTTAACAGCTAATTGTAATAGTAAAATCTTAAAACTCTCACATGAGTATAAAATGAACACTCTCAGAAGCAGGAGCGGGAGGCTCACTACCATCAAAGAGCCAGGAGGCGGACATGTCTTTTGGACCCTAAGTTCCCTGCACAATGAACCTCCTCGACCCAAGGGCAGAAAGCTGTGACATCAGAGGAGTGGCAGAAGAGCAGATTTTCAGGCAGAGCGGTTGGCTTCCTGGGCCCTGGAGCCAGTAAAGCTGAATGGCTTTTGAGCAGGAGGCTTGCTTGTAGAGGGGGGTGCCTCCAGGCACTTAACTGGGGGAGCTAGGGTTGCTGTCTCATAGAGCTAGAGCCAGGAGTCTCAGCAGAGGCTTATGGTGGAACGGTGTGTCGTCCTGTGGGCATTTATCAGCAGCCCTGAAAGAGCTCTGTAATGTTGTTGAGACAGAGACAGGTCTGCCTGTGGGCTGTGCCCTGAACATTTCTAATCTGTTACCTTTCCTAACAAACCCTGTAACTCTGAGCTCTGTGTGGCCATTGCAATGAATTGTTGAACCAAATAGAGAAGCAGAGAGTGTTACAGGAGGGATAGCTGGTGTTATTATTTTTGTATTGGGTATGCAGGAAATATTTTATTTTATTCTGTAAACTTCACAGATATGTTTTATACATGCTTCTGTACATGTAAGCTTATACAACTAAAGTTTTCCAAAAGCCAAAAAACTAATATAATTACAAGCAGTCAATTTTCATACAAACACACACACAGAGATTCCATCCTTCCATCTATCCAGTCATCTGTATTATTTTTACAATTCAGCCTTCTTGTCTATTCTGTCGTTTCCTGCGAGAGGCTGTTCTATTCTCCTTAATGGGCCAGCTTCCTCATTACATGGTTGCATATATCATGTACCTCTATTTTGCATTCATTTCAGTGATTAATTTTAAACGCATTTAGGCAGCTAGGAGGAGCCCTGGTGTGGCACTGTATGATAAGCACTGGGCTGCTAACCACAAGACTGGCAGTTCAAACTAACCAGCCACTTCTTGCAAACCCTAAACAGGGTTGCTATGAGTCTGAATCAACTTGCAAGCATTTAACAACAACAACAAAGTGGTCAGGAGCCCTGTGGTGCTGTAGGATAAGCACTGGATTGCTAACCACAAGTTTGGAAGTTCATACCCACCACTCAGCTACTTGGGAACAAGATGAGGCTTTCTGCTCCTGTAAAGATGTATAGCCTTGAAAACCCTACACTGGACTGCTGAGTCAGAATCTACTCAATAATAGTGAGAGATGTGGTCAATTATCAGTCTCTCCTTCTGAAATGTAGCTCTCATCAAGAAACTATACCCATATATCTCTGGTATTTGACACAGTGTCTGGCACATAATGTGATCAATAAAAAATGTTGAATGAAGGAATACACATGTACCACTGCTAGCTCAGATAGGGCCTTCTGAGAAAGCCCCATCACTGGTGCCTGTCTCATCTGACCCTTCTGTACTCTGGGCCAGTGTATGAACTACAGGAAGAAACTTGGCTGTCCAGAAGTGACGGAACTTCTTTATGCAGTACCAAGCCCTCCTCACCATCTCCCCACTCACCTTCTGCACCTCACACCCACCATCCCTCTGATGTGAAACGCCTTGACTGGGGTCTACTTGCCCTTTAAGTCATTGCGAACATATGTTCTACCAGGAAGTATCCCTAACCTACTTAAACTGGGCAGATACTCACCCTCTGTGCTCCTGAAGACTTTGCACATTGTCTTCTCTTGCATTTAGAAGAATGGTATTTAATTAGGTGTGTACATATTTCTCAGTGGCTTTGTAACATGATTGCAAACTGTTTTAATTCCTTTTTGAATCCCCAGAATACAGCATAGTATCCTACACATAATTATTTACTAAACTTTGATATAGGAATAACTGAATGTGTAGAGTTAAGCACTTAAACGTACCTTTTAAAACCACTGCCCTCTTTTAATTCGGCCACCCTCCTCCCTGCCATGTGCTTACTCACCTGAATTCCCTGTAGACATTATTAAAAGCAAGTGCTGCCCCGAGTCTCTTAGAAGCACTGGGGTGGAGTGCAAAGCTGTAGAGTCGCTTAAAAAGTGATTTGGTATTTACTGGACTTTTTTCCTGCTGCTGTGGTGTTGTTTGCTTAATAGACCATTTCAAGAATTCTCGAATACAGAGACCACAAAAATCTCTTAATGTACTGTCAATAGGATCCACAATTCCATCCTGAAACCAAACAAAGAGGCCTACATTGTACCTTTACAGCCATAAAGTGACAATTCAGTATCGCTAGAATCTAGAGTCTAGATAGCAGTTTTCTTTTGACAAAATGAAAATACTATTTTAAGAAAATTAAGAAAATTAAAAACAATTCATGGATAAAAGAAACACCTTAGTTATAATAATAAAGCGTTCTTTCCTTTCCCTGAAGAAACACAGTAGCTCTATCTTAAGAATTTCTGTTGGTGTTGATTTTACCCTGTAACAATTCCTGACACTATCTATGGATGTTGAAGAGAATAAAACCTTTGCAGGCTCCATGGAAACTGTCCTACTAAATATTAGAAAAACTTATGTGGAGCTGATGTTCTAAAAACATTACTTTCTGTACAAGCATTCCACAGAAACACCTAAAGAAAATAGCTGTCGAAATTTGAGTAATTACCACATACACAATTGGTCTCTATAATGTGTGTTTCCCTATTGTCCTCTCTCAGATCTATCTAGGAAAAGCTTAACTTAAAAAGGATACTGAAGACTGGAATAAGGGAATTCTACCCAAACCCCTGGAGTCCGGGTGTGGTGCTGTGGGCTAATGCGTCAGACAGCAAAGTCAGTTTGAACTGCAAGGTCGGTGGTTCAAGTTCACCAGCTCTCCCTGGAAAACCTAAAAAAGGGAACCAAGAAGCCGAAACAAACCCAACGCAACTAAAAAAAAAAAAAAACCAAACCCCTAATTATTTGCAAATACAAAATCTTTGAATGACAATGCCAATTCAAATTCAAGAAGCCATGAAAATGGTAAGGGGGGTGGGGGCGGCAATATTGATTTCTTCTTAGAGTAGAAGTAAATATTACATTAGGGAATTAGCAGTAAATTATTACTAAGGAAGTTCATGGACTCTCATGGAGGCTGTAATATACTAAGGTGACATTTCTTCCTTGGCCTTTTCTTTCCTCATTTATCTCATTTTACTTTCTCCTTACTTGAACAGATTTCTTTCTGAAGCTCTTACTTAAGCTACCTCCAAGGAACAAAAGATGAAAAGAAGCAGCTAAGACAGAAAGTTCAGAATAGAAACATTAGACTAAATCCATCTGAATGCAAATAAGCTACAAATTAAATTTAATTAAATGTACTTATTCCAGGCAATACTCACTGGTAGATCCTGCAGGGGCTTAAACCACAGGTATAACTTATAAGTTAAAAAACAATATTCATCTCAAAAAACAATATTCACTAACCCCCACTGCTCACATCAAGGTACATGCATAATTGTGGCTCTGACAGAGCAAGGGAGCAGTAATTACACAGAAGATGGGCACCATCCTGGGCAAACAGGATGGATGGACACCCAAGGCCGTACTCCATCTTCTGCTCAGTCTCCCCTCTCCTGATGCTAAAATACACTACCCATCTCCACGTCCTTCCTGTCTGGATTCTCTTACCAAATTTCATTTCATCTGACTCATTTCAAATGTGGCAGAAAGTGATATACAGATTCAAAATGCAATCAACTGAAAATGTTGTTGTTGTTACGTGCTGTGGAGTCAGTTCTGACTCATAGCGACCCTGTACAGGGTACCTGATGCTGTAAATCTTTACGGGAGCAGAAAGCCTCATCTTTCTCCCACGGAACAGCTGGTAGTTTTGAACTGCTGACCTTAAAGTTTGTAGCCTGATTTGTAACTGCTATGCTACCAGAGCTCCCAACTGAATATAAATAATTGGTGCCTTTTATTCTAATAGCAATGTAAAACAAAATAAAGCCAAAGGTTGAAGTAATCAAATGAAGTAGTGAAATAAAATACTATTTAAAGGATTCAAATGTAAAGTTAACCACAAAGCTTCAAAAAATCATACTAAATATCGAACGGCGGTAGGTTTTAGCTGACCTCAACAAAGGTCCACATAATCTTAGAACATAGCAACAGGAAACAACACACTACTTACCACCTCTGGCTGCCAGGAGTCAGGGCCAAATCTTAGTTTTTCTATCCCTACGACCTCAGGATATTACTACGTAAAGGGAAGTTTCTATTTCTAGGACACCTTAATTGTTAACTACGAATGCATAAAAAAATTGGGTGAACTCAAAAAATTCCTTTTATTAATTATTTTGCATAATGTTACAGCATATTATAACCCTAATAATAAGCTCATAACATACTTACTTATTCCTTTCACATTAAACATACAAAACACATGAGCACACACACTCAAAATGAGCATACATACACTCAGACTTATTATAGATTGTTTGTCTTCCAAAAAACGGAATAAAACATAAAATGTTAACTAATATTTACTTGCAAGTATTTTTAAGTATCACATAAGTAAATAAACATGGCATTTTATCCATTAAATAATTCACAAATTCCTTAAGACAAAAGCAAAATTATAATATGCTCTATTTAGAGATAACAATTTAGTATCTTGACAGATTAACTTTTCTCAAAGTTCCAAATATAGATCAAATGTAACTAGACAATGGTAATAGCAGGAAAAGAATCCTCTGTGACTTACCAATATAGATTCTAGTAAGGCAATAGTATCCTGACTTTCGAATTTCTTGTTGTTGGTGAACCAATGGATCAGTTGCATAACTAGTGGCTCATATAATTGCCTTGTCACCTAAAAAAAAACCAAAAACACCATTAGATTTAATGCTTTCATGCTAAAGGAATTTTGCATTTGGAAAACGTTAATTCAAATGGCATTTACAAAGGGACGAGATTAAGCTACAGTACTAGTAATCCTAGTATGGCACTGTAGAATAAGTACTAGACTGCTAATTACAAGGTCGGCAGTTCATACTCAACAACTGCTCCTTAGAAACTCTAAACAGTGTTGCTATGACTGATTCAACAACACTTAACAACAATAATAATAATCTATTTTTGCTGAAACAGAAAACCTCATCTTTCTCCTGTGGAGCAGCTAGTGGGCTCAAACTGCCAACCATGAGGTTCACAGTCCAGTGCTTATCAGACCAATAACCAGAAGTTTAGCAATTCAAACTCACCAGCCGTTCCTTAGAAGCCATACACAGTGTTGCGATGAGTCGAAACTGACTCAATGGCACATAACAACATACACATAATGTTCATAAAAAATTAAATTTTTGTAACCACTTTTCCTCTTAATTTTGAACATTTTCCATGCAAATATACAAGCTACATCAATATTTTTTAATTATATGTCCAATACCTCATATATATTGTTGTATGCCCTCAAGTCAGTTCTAACTCATAGCGAGCTTTTATAGGGTTTCTGAGAGCAGCTGACAGGTTTGAATTACTAACTTGGCAATTACCAGTTTAGTGCATATCCCACAGCACCACATCAGGACTCGCATATAGATGCACCATAATCCTGTTACCCAATCCCAACTGTTAGAAAAAAACACAGGTTGTTACTAGTGTATGATTATTACAAAAGCTACAGTTGTAGTGTAGTGGTTATGGGTCAGGCTGCTAACCTCAAGGTCAGGAGTCAGAAACTACCAGCTGTGCCAAATGAGAAAGATGAGACTTTTTGCTCCTGTACAGATTTACAGCCTTGGAAACCCTATATAGGGTCGCTATGAGTTGAAACCAACTCCATGGCACACAACCACCACTACCTGAACCTGCTAAGTGGTCTGCACATCACTGGGCCTCTGGCCTGCTAGTACAGAGCCCTGCACATCCCCAATCCCACCAGCCATAGCTTGGAGGCTCTGACCACTGTCCTCAGCAATATCAGGCATTGCCATCTTATGACTCTTTGACAACAGCTGTAAACAGAATCATTTTAACTTGAATTTCCTTATTTACTAAAAAGGTTGAATATTTTTAAATGTTTCATTGGCTATTGATATTTCTTTTTCATGAAGGGAAAATTTTTTCCTTTATCTACTTGCCCATTTTCAATCTTTAGACTACTGTTGTTGCTAAGTACCTCTGAGTTAGTTGCTCATAGCAACCCTAGATTGGGTTTCCAAGGAGCAGAAAGCCTCATCTTTCTCCCGCGGAACAGCTGGTGGGTTTGAATTGCCTAACTTGCAGTCCAAATCGACCTTGTGGGCCACTGCTTATCCTACAGAGCCACACCAGGACTCCACCTTTAGATTGTTGTTGTTGTTAAGCGCCACTGAAACAATTTCAACTCAGTGACCCTGCAGGGTTTCCAAGGAGCAGTAGATGAGCTTGAACTGCTGACCTTGTGGTTCAAACAGACCTAGCAGTCCAGCACATTAACCCACAGCACCACACTAGGACTCCATCTTTAAATTGTTGTTGTTAAGTGCCAGCAAGTTGATTCCAATTTACAGCGACCCTGTATAGGGTTTCTGAGTAGCAGCTGGTGGGTTTGAACTGCTGACCTTGTGGTTCGCAGTCCAGTGGTGATCCTATAGCCCCACACAAGGAGTCCAACTTTAGATTGTTGTTGTGTCGTGCCGTCGAGTCAGTTCCGACCCATAGCAACCCTGTATAGGGTTTCCAAGGAGGAGCCGGTGAGCGTGAACTGCGGACCTTGCAGTTCAAATGGTTTTGTAGTCTGGCGCGTTAACCCACAGCACCACACCAAGATTAGTATGCTGCAAATACATATTTTTTCACCATGCATAGGCAATTATGTTTTTTATGTGATTTAGTAGCTGCTGTTGTTTTTAGGTACCATAGAATAACTTCTGATGCACAGTGACCCTAAGTAAACAGAACAAAACACTGCCCATTCCTACACCATCCTAAAAATTACTGCTATGATTGAGCCCACTGTTGCTGTCACTGTGCCAAACCATCTGGTTAGGGGTCTTCATCCTTTTCACTGTCC